CCTATATGAGACCAGAGAGAGACCAGAGAGAGACCAGGGAGAGAGACTAGAGAGACCCCAGAGAGAGACCAGAGAGACCAGAGAGGGACCAGAGAGAGACCAGAGAGAGACCAGAGAGGGACCAGAGAGAGACCAGAGAGAGACCAGAGAGAGACCAGAGAGAGACCAGAGAGAGACCAGAGAGAGACCAGAGAGACCAGAGTGACCAGAGAGAGACCAGAGAGAGACCAGAGAGAGACCAGAGAGAGACCAGAGAGAGACCAGGGAGACCAGAGTGACCAGAGAGAGACCAGAGAGAGACCAGAGAGAGACCAGAGAGAGACCAGAGAGACCAGAGGGACCAGAGAGAGACCAGAGACAGACCAGAGAGTCTTCTGGTCCCAGTGCAGTGTGTGTTTGTGGCTCTCAGTAGAACATGCAACATGTATGTTCTGTGACAGGTCAGACATGTGTTATTCCACTTTTGTTTATGGTCCAAAACCACAGCAGTGTCTGAGACTTTACAAAGTTGAGGATTCACCAACAGCAGATCAGAGAATCCAACAGTACAGTGAATGCACAGCTTTTGACAGCTGCAGCAGCTCAGACCTACAACCAACAGGTTTGATATCTTTACATTTAAATACATGAAGTAAAGTAAAGTAAAGTAGAGTAAAGCAAAGCTGCAGGTCCGAGGGAAACATGAAGCAGCAGAACGCCAGCAGCTCTTTTGTTCACACACGGGGGGTGCAGTGAGGGGGGGCGGAGGGGGAGGGGGGAGGAGGGGGAGGCCCACATGGAAACCCAAACCCGGGACTTGGAGCAGTTCCAGGGGCTGGGAGCAGGAACATTGTTCGGAGCATGCATTAGCGAGTAAGTACAAGAGCTAATGTGAGCGGCAGACATGGAGAGAGAGAGGGGAGGGAGGGGGGAAAGGGGGAGAGGGAGGGGAAGGGGGAGGGAGGGGAGGGAGGAGGGAGGGGAGGGAGGAGGGAGGGGGGGAGGGGAGGGAGGAGGGAGGGAGGGGGGGGAGGAGGGAGGGGGGGGAGGGGATTCCATTGCTGGTTTACATCTGTTTTCTGGTACCCTTGATATTATTTCTGACATTTCTCTCTTTCCTCCATGTTACGACCTGGTTCCTCCTCAAACACAGACCTGCAGTTGTTTTTAGATCCATCCACGCTGACATCATAAACTTCTAACACATACATGTAGATCAGAGAGAGAGACCAGAAAGACCAGAGAGAGAGCTGCTAGCATCACGCAGCTAACCGTTTCATGGGAGTTCTGGCCTCGTTAGCCTCGTTAGCCTCGTTAGCATGTCTTTTATCCTTTGCCAATCAGCCGCCGATTAATGAATAATTGAGTGAAAGAAAAACGCAGGATTAAACTTTAAAGAGGATCTTAGAAGGAAATGAACAAGTCATCGGGAGAAGAACCAGGTGAGACTAGAGACCAGAGAGAGACCAGAGAGAGACTAGAGAGAGACCAGAGAGAGACCAGAGAGAGACCAGAGAGAGACCAGAGAGAGACCAGAGAGAGACCAGAGAGAGACTTGAGAGAGACCAGAGAGAGACCAGAGAGAGACCAGAGAGAGACTAGAGAGAGACCAGAGAGAGACCAGAGAGAGACCAGAGAGAGACCAGAGAGAGACTAGAGAGAGACTAGAGAGAGACCAGAGAGAGACCAGAGAGAGACCAGAGAGAGACCAGAGAGAGACTAGAGAGAGACCAGAGAGAGACCAGAGAGAGACCAGAGAGAGACCAGAGAGAGACCAGAGAGAGACCAGAGAGAGACTTGAGAGAGACCAGAGAGAGACCAGAGAGAGACTAGAGAGAGACTAGAGAGAGACCAGAGAGAGACCAGAGAGAGACCAGAGAGAGACCAGAGAGAGACTTGAGAGAGACCAGAGAGAGACCAGAGAGAGACCAGAGAGAGACTAGAGAGAGACCAGAGAGAGACCAGAGAGAGACCAGAGAGAGACCAGAGAGAGACCAGAGAGAGACCAGAGAGAGAGACCAGAGAGAGACCAGAGAGAGACCAGAGAGAGACTAGAGAGAGACTAGAGAGAGACCAGAGACATCACATTAAGACCATCACAGATATAACGATGGTCCACTGGTGAAGGATGAAGAAGAGGACTTTATCTCAGCGATAGGACGTGTGTCAGTAAGAGTTATATCCTAAATCTATTTCAGTCCAAACCTCTCTCTGATTTTTCTTCAATGAACAAAACCTTGGTACGTTGGAACAACAGACTCGACGGTGCCGTTCGGCCAAATGAACGTGTGAAAAGTTGTTGTATTGTTGTTCAGATCTTTGCATTTGTCACTAACAAGCAAAACAATCATATCAGGGTTTATTTGGAACAAAAAAAGAGCCAGGCTGAGATATGGAACTCTTCAGCTGTCAAAAGAAAAGGCCATTCAGGATATTTGTTGGTGTGATCCAGACTTTAGTGGGAAATGGAAGGAGATAGAAACTGGAACTCCAAAGGAACCTATTCAAAATATTATTGGAGATAAGGAAATGTATCAAAGGCAGATTTAGATCCAATAACAAATCAAGCACTATCTGGCTCAACATTCTATAGAAAGATAACATTCAGAATAGTATTAGGAAATGGATCGCTCATGATTATCTTTTCCAACCTTTGAAACACGACTCTAGTTTTAAATATTGGGAAACAAAAGGCAGCAGCGTTTTCAAAATATGACAAGACAATTTCAACTTCACAAACAAGATTTCTTCTGTTATCTACAGATGAAACATTATTCTAAAACAGAAATACTAGCTCCAATGAAGAGAGTCCGGACAATCGCTAAAGGTGGAAATGTTTGGAATAATCTCTGCATTCTACAAAGCGCTCACGGAACTACAAAACACACAACTGGATGTGGACCACTGGATGTGGTGACAGGAAAAACATGTTTACAGTTAACACTATCTGTAGATGAACTTAATATAAATGTTGTAAATGTTGTAAATGTTATAAATAAATAATTGGAAGAGATGATCAAATAATACGTTATTCCTGTTCTTACAAATGGAAAGTATGAAAGGAACTAAGTAAGTAAGTACCCTACCCTTACAGATTATAATTATCATTAATACTTTAAAGAACAGGAGCATTCTGTCCTTTATGGTTTTTGTGCAGTTACATGTTATTTAACAATCTGTGATTTGATACAATGCTAATTACTAAATATCAATTACAAAACAAATAAACATGTGTACATGTGAGCAGTGAGTGTAGCTACATGATGCAGCATAAGGTCCACAGAGGACCAGCAGGTCCACAGCAAGGACCAGCAGGTCCACAGCAAGGACCAGCAGGTCCACAGCAAGGACCAGCAGGTCCACAGAGGACCAGCAGGTCCACAGCAAGGACCAGCAGGTCCACAGCAAGGACCAGCAGGTCCACAGAGGACCAGCAGGTCCACAGCAAGGACCAACAGGTCCACAGAGGACCAGCAGGTCCACAGCAAGGACCAACAGGTCCACAGAGGACCAGCAGGTCCACAGCAAGGACCAACAGGTCCACAGAGGACCAGCAGGTCCACAGAGGACCAGCAGGTCCACAGCAAGGACCAGCAGGTCCACAGCAAGGACCAGCAGGTCCACAGCAAGGACCAGCAGGTCCACAGCAAGGAATCTCAGCATACCTCCGCCGCTGATACTTTCTGCTAGTATTGCTTCATACTGCTTCAGGCTGCATATTGCAATATGAAGCAGTATGAAGCAATATGAAGCAGTATGAAGCAATATGAAGCAGTATGAAGCAGTATGAAGAGGCTTGGAGGTGATTAATTTGCTCTAGCGCCAACATGTGGACAAACACATGTATAACACTCTTAAGTTTCTACAATAAATGGTGCGTGTGAGACATTTACGGAAACAAGTGCTGCTAACGTGACTGTAAACAAGTGCTGCTAACGTGACTGTAAAAAGTGCTGCTAACGTGACTGTAAACAAGTGCTGCTAACGTGACTGTAAAAAGTGCTGCTAACGTGACTGTAAACAAGTGCTGCTAACGTGACTGTAAACAAGTGCTGCTAACGTGACTGTAAACAAGTGCTGCCAACATGACTGTAAACAAGTGCTGCTAACTTTGTGTAAGCCTCAGTCGTACAGGGATTAGTCAAAGCTGAAGCTTTCCCTGAAGAAGTCCGCTAGTTTGAGGACGAAACGTCGGGAAAACTTGCTAAGAAGTACAGATGATGGGTGAGAAAGTGCTGCTAACGTGACTAAACAAGTGCTAGAGCAGGAGACAAACGAGCAGAGTTTGTTGTGGTAAAGTGGATTTAAAGAAAACCGAAGGATTTAAGAAAAAATAAGTTCAGGACGACAAGAGACACGTTCATAGAATCCTCCTTTATGAAAGCTGTAGGTTCTCTGTCAGGTTCTCAGTCAGGTTCTCAGTCAGGGTCTCTGTCAGGTTCTCAGTCAGGTTCTCAGTCAGGGTCTCTGTCAGGGTCTCTGTCAGGTTCTCTGTCAGGGTCTCTGTCGGGTTCTCTGTCAGGTTCTCAGTCAGGGTCTCTGTCAGGGTCTCTGTCGGGTTCTCTGTCAGGTTCTCAGTCAGGGTCTCTGTCAGGGTCTCTGTCGGGTTCTCTGTCAGGTTCTCAGTCAGGGTCTCTGTCAGGGTCTCTGTCAGGGTCTCTGTCAGGTTCTCTGTCAGGTTCTCTGTCGGGTTCTCTGTCATGTTCTCTGTCATGTTCTCTGTCAGGTTCTCTTAGTAAAGAAAACGTACATAATTCTGTTTTTTGTGACACTATTTAATCAAACAGTAATCCAACTTAGTTACTTTCTTGCAGAAGAAACTTGCCCAACACTACACACACACACACACACACACACGCACACACAGAGACACACACGCACACGCACACACACACACACACACACACACACACACACAGAGAGACACACACGCACACACAGAGACACACACGCACACACACACACACAATGATGCTGTAGCGTCACTTAAACAAAAGGAGGTTGTGATGTCACACGCTTACCTCTGGTTCATGGAGTTCCAGTAGATCGGTTCCATGGAGCTGGCGCTGGTTCCCATTAGATCCAGCAACAAAAGCAACAGAACCACGGCTCCACTCTCGGTCCACGCCATCTCCTCCATCCGAGCCGAGCCGAGCCGCGCCAGCAGCTTTAGCACCTTTTAGCACCTTTAGCAGCTTTAGCACTTATTCTCAGCGTTCTCTCCCCACGCTGCTCCCTCCGTACGAACAGAAACCGTGCAAAGCAAGGCGCTCCAGTCCGTGCTAGACCATCTTAGACCATCCCAGACCATCCCGGACCATCCTAGACCATCCTTCCCACGCGGGTTAGGATGAAGAGTGTTTCCTCCTCCACCTGCTCAGACCAGTTCCAACTCTGCATCAATCACAGAATCCTCCACTTCATCCTCTCCGCGTTAATGCGACCCTCGGAGAGAGGGGGGAGAGAGGGGAGAGAGGGGGGAGAGAGGGAGAGACGGAGGCTGTAAATCCACATAAAACAAAGAAATCCAAATAGATCCAGAAAAAGCAAGATTCCGATCACGCAGAGACGTAGCATCCACTGGGGCCGAACAAAGAGAGAGGTTCGCGGCGAGAGATCCAGAGATGACGACTGGACTGAGACTGCACCGCTGTGCTCGGAGCTGGAGGAGGAGACAGCGGGAGGAGGAGGAGACAGCGGGAGGAGGAGGAGGGGAGAGCGGGGTGGATGAATGGGGGGAGAGAGAGAGAGAAAACATCCAGGGTCTTTCAAAAATAAAAGGAAATGCAATAATGTAACAGTTTTATTCAGTTCTTTTCAGACTCTCAAAGTCTTTTCACATCATTACTCTCCAAACACAGTGGTGATAAAAATGCTACTGTAGCCACAGCTGCCCTGGGCCACACTGACAGAAGTGAGGAAACCAGTGTGTGCCATCGGCCCCTCCCACCACCACCAACCATTCACACACACCAGACTCATTCTAGTGTGGGGGAAGTGTCTTGCCTAAGGACACAATCACACACGCACGTTTGGCGCGACGCATTATGGGAGATAATCCACTGCGCAGAACAGACGATGCCCAAATATAGGCGAGTTCAGCTAATGTCCCGGTCTCCATGAAGTCCCATGCGCTACTGAGCACAAGCCATTCATTTGAATAGGGCGCAATCTGAGATCACCGGGGCTTGTTTGCAGGTATAAAACTTTCTGCTCCTACACCTGGACTCAGACTGATGACATCAGAGTACACCTGGACTCAGACCATGGATCTATTATAATAACTGGATAGGGTATTACTAGTTTGGAGCTGAAGAACCCATGTGCTCGGGGGATTCTCGCGGTACTGCAGACTGAACCAGACTAAATTCACGTGGGCTACCCAGAAATTTTCCCCATAGAACTCAATGCAAACTAAAACAGCACGACCTCAGCTGACAGAGAACCTACAGCTTTCACAAAGGTTGGATTTCGTGAGGATTTTAGTGTCCCTTGTCATCCTGAACTTTTATTCTTCTTAAATCCTTCGGTTTTCTTTAAATCCACACTTTAGTGCCACAAACTCTGCCCGTCTGGCTCCCACTCTGACTCCCGCTCTGCGCACGTGCGTGAGACCGCATGTGAGACCCACACACGCGTATTTGGCGCAACGCATCATGGGAGATAATCCACTGCGCAGAACCGGGAGGACCAGACAATGCCCAAATACAGGCGAGTTTCCCATGGATCTTTGTGAGTTCCAGGCGGGTTCCGCTAATATGTCAGTGACCGTGCCGGCACAATGCGCCACTGAGCACAAACTGCCACTCCCGTATTCGTCCCAGAAACCGGATTCGTCCGGAAGTTCAGTTTGCGCACATCAAAAAGTTTAATATGTCCTTAAGTGGTGACTGGTTAAGTTTAGGCGTCTGATTAAGATGGTTAAGTTTAGGGTTAAGGCTGGGTTGGGGTTATTTTATGGGAATAGCTGGTTAAGTTTAGACATGAATAGGTAGTTTTTTATTTATATTTACTTCCGCTTCCATCCAGATTCCGTGACGTAATCTACTGCTGCGTGGTGTCACTCCCATATTCGTCCCGGAAACCGGATTCGTCCGGAAGTTCAGTTTGATCCAATGAGCACAGGTAGCAGTAGATTACGTCACGGAATCTGGACGGAAGCGGAAGTAAATATAAAAAACTACCTATTCATGCCTAAACTTAACCAGCCATTCCCATAAAATAACCCCAACCCAGCCTTAACCCTAAACTTAACCATCTTAATCAGACGCCTAAACTTAACCAGTCACCACTTAAGGACATATTAAACTTTTTGACATGCGCAAACTGAACTTCCGGACGAATCCGGTTTCCGGGACGAATCCGGGAGTGACACGTATGATCAATGGATCAAACTGAACTTCTGGACGAATCCGGTTTCCGGGACGAATACGGGAGTGACATAAACCATTCATTTGAATACGGCGCCATTTTGGATCGCCGGGGCTTGACTCAGACTGATGACAGCAGAGTAAACCTGGACTCAGACTAATGACCTCAGAGCAGTCTAAATAATGTGTTTCTGATTTTAAAGCTGCTCTACCTGTTTTTAAACTTAGATATTTGCAATTGTCCTTTACAGTTTTTAACCATTATGACTTTTAGGGTTTTAGTCTTTTTAACACATTGATTGACATTTTAACAAAAGACTATCTTATACTTTTAAATTAAACACTTTTCAGGAATTTAACTGTTTTGGCGAGAACACAGTTTGGCACTTTACAGCCGCAGCCACCCCACTGTAGCACCTGCTGTTCCCAGAGGTCTCCCATCACAGTACTAACCAGGCCCTGCTCTGCTTAGCTTCAGAGGTTCTTTCAGCTCCAGGTCCTGAGGTTACGGACATGTGTGAGGTGGAGTAACACCGCCCCCAGTGGTCACTGTGGAGACTGCATATGCGTAAGAGGGATAGTGATGGGTCAGAGAGTGTCTGTGTGTGTGCGTGTGTGTATAAGACAAGATAGTTTATTGATCTCTGATGGAGAAACATGTGACATCACAGATAGAATCACTTTGTGCAAAGACAGAAACATGTTGAAGTTAAATATATAATGATATAATTATGTACAATAAACAGAGCCAATAGCAGCTGGTTCCTCAGTCCTACTGCATTAGTGACTTATTGTACGGTCTGACAGCGGTGGGGATAAAGGCCCTGCTCCTTCTTCCACGAGAGCTCCTCAACCCCTCCTCAGTCCTGTGGGAGGTGTTGTCCATGATGGAGGTGACTGACTCGCACCCTCGTGTCCCTCACCTCCTCCACAGAGTCCAGGGGCCTCCTGTCCCTCACCTCCTCCAGAGTCTACTCTTGTCCTTTGTGTGTCTAGGTGTATGTAGATTGTGTGTACAGTAGTTGGGATCAATAAACTTTTCTGAATCTGAAACGTTAAGAAACTTTATTGATCTGACAGACATTTGGAGTAAAACTGGTTAAAAAAAAGAATAAGATTCTTAGATCTTAGTCTGACTTTAATCCTGCTCTAAACACATTTTACGTTCTTCTCATGACGTAAGCAGCAAAGGTCACGTGATGAACAACCATGAAACGTCACACTAGTCTTTGGCGACACTGCCCCCGTGTGGCCGCTCAGAGAACTGCATCAGAAACATTCTAATGAGGCTGTAGACCCAGGACCAGTGGTGGGCACGTTACTTTGAAAAGTAATTTAGTTACTTCTTCCAAAAAGTAAATGAGTTACTGAGTTACCCCACTATAAAAGTAACTAGTTACAAGTAAAAGTAACTTGCGTTACTTTTTTGTTTCGTTCTGGAACATAATGTGCACTCGACGTGCACATTTTTACCATTAACCTCAGTGAGTTTGAAATAGTGGTGATATTTCTATCTGGAAAAGGCTGTTTTGTTGCTGGAGTCCTCCTCCATCTTTCTCTGTGCTGCTGTAAGCACTAAACACCAACACCACCCGCTACTGTGAATGTGGAAACACCAGTGACGTGCGGAGAGGTTGGTGATGTGAGGCACTGACTTCAGCCCAGATGAACATATATAATATACATCAACAGGACCAATAGAGTGGCTAATCACAATTTGTTTGGCTAAAGCAGAATATGTTCCATGCCCGCATTGTTTGCTCATACAAAACGCAAAAGTATGAAAAAGCACATTTTAAAGTGTGTTATGGATCTTACCTTAAACATGACCTGCACAGACCAGTTTCATGTTTAAGTCCAGATAATAGTTTGAGCGGAGATATGTAATCCTCCATTTGGAAATAAGTCCAATTACTTTTCTCGTCATTCCTATTGTCATTGGAAGATTAACTTACAGTGCCTTGCGAAAGTATTCGGCCCCCTTGAACCTTTCAACATTTCGCCACATTTCAGGCTTCAAACATAAAGGTATAAAAAAATGTTTTTATCAAGAATCAACAACAAGTGGGACACAATCGTGAAGTGGAACGAAATTTATTGGATAATTTAAACTTTTTTAACAAATAAAAAACTGAAAAGTGGGGCGTGCAATATTATTCGGCCCCCTTGCGCTAATACTTTGTAGCGCCACCTTTTGCTGCAATTACAGCTGCAAGTCGCTTGGGGTATGTCTCTATCACTTTTGCACATCGAGAGACTGGAATTCTTGCCCATTCTTCCTTGCAAAACAGCTCGAGCTCAGTGAGGTTGGATGGAGAGCGTCTGTGAACAGTAGTCTTCAGCTCTTTCCACAGATTCTCGATTGGATTCAGGTCTGGACTTTGACTTGGCCATTCTAACACCTGGATACGTCTATTTGTGAACCATTCCATTGTAGATTTGGCTTTATGTTTTGGATCATTGTCCTGTTGGAAGATAAATCTCTGTCCCAGTCTCAGGTCTTTTGCAGACTCCAACAGGTTTTCTTCCAGAATGGTCCTGTATTTGGCTCCATCCATCTTCCCATCAATTTTAGCCATCTTCCCTGTCCCTGCTGAAGAAAAGCAGGCCCAAACCATGATGCTGCCACCACCATGTTTGACAGTGGGGATGGTGTGTTCAGGGTGATGAGCTGTGTTGCTTTTACGCCAAACATATCGTTTTGCATTGTGGCCAAAAAGTTCGATTTTGGTTTCATCTGACCAGAGCACCTTCTTCCACATGTTTGGTGTGTCTCCCAGGTGGCTTGTGGCAAACTTTAAACGAGACTTTTTATGGATATCTTTGAGAAATGGCTTTCTTCTTGCCACTCTTCCATAAAGGCCAGATTTGTGCAGTGCACGACTGAGTGTTGTCCTATGGAAAGACTCTCCCACCTCAGCTGTAGTTATCTGCAGTTCATCCAGAGTGATCATGGGCCTCTTGGCTGCATCTCTGATCAGTCTTCTCCTTGTTTGAGATGAAAGTTTGGAGGGACGGCCGGGTCTTGGTAGATTTGCAGTGGTCTGATACTCCTTCCATTTCAATATAATTGCTTGCACAGTGCTCCTTGAGATGTTTAAAGCTTGGGAAATCTTTTTGTATCCAAATCCGGCTTTAAACTTCTCCACAACAGTATCTCGGACCTGCCTGGTGTGTTCCTTTGTCTTCATGGTTCTCTCTGCGCTTTAAACAGAACCCTGAGACTATCAAAGAGCAGGTGCATTTATACGGAGACTTGATTACACACAGGTGCATTCTATTTATCATCATCAGTCATTTAGGACAACATTGGATCATTCAAAGATCCTCACTGAACTTCTGGACTGAGTTTGCTGCACTGAAAGTAAAGGGGCCGAATAATATTGCACGCCCCACTTTTCAGTTTTTTATTTGTTAAAAAAGTTTAAACTATCCAATAAATTTCGTTCCACTTCACGATTGTATCCCACTTGTTGTTGATTCATGACGAAAAATTAAATTTTTATATCTTTATGTTTGAAGCCTGAAATGTGGCAAAATGTTGAAAGGTTCAAGGGGGCCAAATACTTTCGCAAGGCACTGTAAGTGCATTTTAAATAATCTTAAAATGTGTGTGTGTAAATATGTATGTTTGCCAAACCTGTTGCTGTCCTTAGATGTAGAACAAGAAAGGAATCGGACGCAGCCAAATTCTGCGCTTGCGTTGCAAGAACAAGCTGTGGTTGGGCGCGATTAAGACTCATTTGTTTTTAAAAACACAAAATATGAGCCATCCTCTCAACTGTAGACATGTAGATTGTAAAGGAAATATGTTTTACAGCAGCCAATAATTGCTGAGAGGATTTCTCATCCCCCCTTCTCTCATGACAACACGAGCACGCGTCCTATCATGAAGTTAAAAAAAATGTTCAATGTGCGACTTGAGTGACGCGCAGTAACGGGATGTCGGCAATGATAACGGCGTTATAGTTAGTCAAAGTAATTAGTTAGATTACTCGTTACTGAAAAAAGTAAGTACTAGTAATGCCGTTATTTCCATCACTGCCCAGGACTGAGGCTGTAGACCCAGGACTGAGGCTGTAGACCCAGGACTGAGGCTGTAGACCCAGGATTGAGGCTGTAGACCCAGGACTGAGGCTGTAGACCCAGGACTGAGGCTGTAGACCCAGGACTGAGGCTGTAGACCCAGGACTGAGGCTGTAGAGCAGAGTAGAGAAGAGCAGAGCAAAAGAGCAGAGTAGAGCACAGTAGAGCAGAGTAGAGCAGGTGGAAATGAGACTTTAAACCCTCTCATTAACACAATAGTTTTTACAATATTTCAGTTTTTTCCTCCGACCTTGAAGCTAAAACAAAACCATTGAGTTTAAAAAACAAGTGATTAAATGTTTTAATCACATTAAAACAAAGTTAGACAGTTGAACTACAGAGAAACAGAAGAGTTTGTGCCAAAACATGTTAAATATGAACATAAAAGAACCCCCTGAACCAAGGCCTCTGATTGGTCAGTCCTTATATGGTCATATCAGGATTTACAAAGACAACATCACATTCACAAAGACATATCAGTCTGTGTTAGCATTAGCATCTGTATGCAGTCTGTGTTGGCATTAGCATCTGTATACAGTGTGTTGGCAGTGTCCATCTGTATACAGTCTGTGTTAGCATTAGCATCTGTATACAGTCTGTGTTAGCATTAGCATCTGTATACAGTCTGTGTTAGCATTAGCATCTGTATACAGTCTGTGTTAGCATTAGCATCTGTATACAGTCTGTGTTAGCATTAGCCATTTGTATACAGTCTGCTAGCATTGTCCATCTGTATACAGTCTGTGCTATTAGCTTCATATTTACAGTTTTTCCTGTTAAAATAAGGCAATTTGAAGCAGAGTCCTCTGAACAAGTCTTCGCATGCACGCACACACGCACACCTCTGGGCAGAGGCTCCTGGGGGCCCTTACACACACACTGGGACCTCTTGTTCGGCTGGTTCTCTGTCCTCTGTGTCCTCGGGCCCCGGGGCTGAGGCTCCTGGGGGCCCGCTCCACCACACGCACACACAGTTCTCCTGCCTGCGCTCCTGAGGGGCCCCCAGGTCGGTGTCAGAGCCCGAGTCCTCACTGTCGCTCGGCCACGAGAACTGTCTCTGTCCACTGGAGGAAGCCAGCAGCGGCAGGAACGGATGCACACTGAGGGCCCAAAAGGACTGTGTTAATGCTGAGGGCCCCAAAAGGACTGTGTTAGTGCTGAGGGCCACAAAAGGACTATGTTAGTGCTGAGGGCCACAAAAGGACTGTTAGTACTGAGGGCCCCAGAAGGACTGTGTTAGTACTGAGGGCCCCAGAAGGACTGTTAGTACTGAGGGCCCCACACAGGTACACACACTGGGACTGCACCAACGGACTCAGGTGTGTGTACCTGTGTCTGTACCTGAGTCCGTTGGTGCAGTCCCAGTGGGCCTGGAAGGTGAGGTGTGGAGGCTGCAGTTCCTCTGAGCTCCTGTAGGAGGCGCAGTGAGTAGTGTCCCACACAGACACCAGGCCAGAGGTGTCCCCACTCAGCAGGTAGCGGCCCGACCTGAGCACAGGGGGGGGGGAAGAGGAGGAGAGGGAGGAGAGGGAGGAGAGGATGGAGGAAAGGAGGGGCAGAGAGGAGGAAGGAGAGGAGAGAGGAGAGGGATAGATCTTATATTTATATTTGTATCCTCCATCACAGACTGTATACAGATGGATAACGCTAACCTGCTAGCTCAATGCTAACCTGCTAGGTCACTGAAGCCCAATAGAGAAGTGCTCAAGGTGAAGTCTGGCTCCTATAGAGGTTTTGCACCACCATGTGACCTACATAGCAACCGTCACTAAGCCGCCATGTTAGATGGCAGGTATGAAACTTTATACAGTCAGATTCAACACAGTGGCCGTGAGCGCACCTTTACTTAGACTGATGGGAAAGTTTTGCTGCGTCTTTAATTGTGGTTAATGCTCAGAGCGAGATGTCTATTTTTTTTTAAAATACCGGCCGTAATTCACCATCAAGGAAAAGAAACGCTAAACATAGCGAAAAAACGACGGCAGCAAGCTAGCATTTGTGACGATGCAGTTTAAAACGGGGAAATCATTAACATGTTTGTCTGTTTTGTCTGTTCTTGTCATTTTCACCTAAGTTAGTTGTTCTAATAAAAACATTGCGTCGGAGTAAAAAGTCTGTCAGTGACGTGCGGTTGGTGACTGAGGCACTGACTTCATCACAATCTGTCAGTGATTGTGATCGCGATTGCCACTTTCGCTTTACTTTCTGAGTTGTTTTTTGTCAATACGCAGAGGAGTTGCGTATCGCGGCTGTGTAAACAGCTGCAGAGTCACGGCTGCTGCTGTCTCTGTGAGGTCTATGGAGAAGTGTAGAGGACAGTGTAATGTGTTCACTGACACTAAATGATCAGACCGATGGGTTGTGTTTGTGCGTTTACTTTGCACTCTGTGGTACTACACTACAGACGTGTTGAAAATATACAGTCGATGGTTGATGCAGCCGTTACTATTTGTCGGCTCGCACTTATCTTAGAGCATGTGGTGCGTTCACGAGTAGTCCATACAAACTATTATTAAACATGACAGACAGTATGGGCCAGAGAACTGTAGAGCAGTAAAATGTTTGTCTTCATGTCTCTGTGGCTGCTGTGGTCCATAGTCAGACGCAACTCTTTGAGCAACTTTGGGCGGCACGGTGGCTGTGGATAGCACTCTCGCCTCTCAGCAAGAAGGTCCTGGGTTCGAATCCCAGTCGGACCAGGGCCTTTCTGAGTGGAGTTTGCAATTTCTCCCCGTGTCTGCGTAGGTTTCCTCCGGGTACTCCGGAGGAAATATGTACAATAGGTCTGGAATAAGCCTCCTGTTCGGCGACCCCGCTCCCATCTCTGTGTGGAGCGAGAGGACAAGTGCCCAAAAAATAACAATTGTAAACCGCTTTGTGACTCTGGTCTCTGAAAGGCAGTATATAAATAAAGCTTGCTTACTCTCTGGACTGCGTGAAGCGGGTAGACCCGCGAACGTGCGGCCGTTATGTGAGATGCCAGTGAAAATAGTATTTTACAGATATTGCTTATCCCGTGTGAATGCACTGCAAAATCAGACGTTTTTCGTGATTGTCACAAATTAACACAGGGTCCACAGGTAATACTAATCCGTGTGAGTAAACAAACTTGTTTCACTTCCGGGTAATCGATTGACGCCAAAATGTATTAAATACAAATTTAAAAAAGGCTTATTATTGCATTTTCTAGTTCCCAAATCCGGTTATTTTAATATCTATATGTCTTATAAGCAATGAAAAAAAACATGGTTTTTTAATTTTTGTATATTGCTCTGTGCCTGAAAATGCAAAATATTTTCCATTTCCTTTCAAAAATAGAAAATGTATTGAACGCGAAAGTACACGGACCATTTAGCTATGAGGTAAGACCATAACACATAATGTGCTGGTTACTTTGGCGTTTGTTTGAGAAAACAATGCGGACCATGTGTGAATAATCCTCTGTATGTCCTGTTATGTAGCGGTAAATCTGATTGTGATGAAGTCAGTGCTTCATTAACTGACAGAATTTTTACTCCAACGCAATGTTTTTATTAAAACAACTAACGTGAAAATGACAAGAACAGACAAAACAGACAAACACGTTAATGATTTCCCCGTTTTAAACTGCATCGTCACAAATGCTAGCTTGCTGCAGTCGTTTTTTCGATAGGTTTAGAGTTTCTTTTCCTTGATGGCGAATTACGGCCGGTATTTTAAAAAAATAGACATCTTTGTCTCGCTCCGAGCATTAACCACAATTAAAAGACGCAGCAAAACTTTCCCATCAGTCCAAGTAAAGGTGCGCTCTCGGCCATTGTGTTGAATCTGACTGTATAAAGTTTCATACCTGCCATCTAACATGGCGGCTTAGTGACGGTTGCTATGTAGGTCACATGGTGGTGCAAAACCTCTATTGACTTCATGTAAAACTCTTCTCAGTAATGTTTGTATGACATCACTATTTTGGGATTAAATCTCAGTTTAAACTCTTACAGTCAATGAGATAAGAATCTTAGGGTCACACGGTGGTGATGTCACACTGCGGTGATGTCACTCACGGGTCCAGGTCGTAGTAGATCCGTTGGTTGGTGCCGACGTTCCTCTGCAAACTGAACAGCACTTTATCAGGGGCCCTCAGGTCCCAGCACAGGATCTCAGGGTCCTGGAGGAGCACAGGTACAGGTGAGGGAGCACAGATACAGGAGCACAAGTACAGGTGAGGAGGAGGAGCACAGGTACGAGTGAGGGAGCACAGGGACAGGTGGTCTCTGGTGTTCCCCTGGTCTCTCTCTCTGGTCTCGCCCTGGTCTCTCTCTGGTACCTTGCGTGCTCCGGTGTACAGGTAGGTCCCATCAGGGGAGAAAACCAGGTGAGTGAGCCCCCCCTGGTGCCGCGTGGGCAGAACAGCCACAGGTGCCCCGTCCTGGCAGCTGTACAGAGCCACACCACAAGAGTAAGATCCACAGGCGTAAAGGGCTCTGGAGGAACTGAAGGACACGCAGGAGACTATCCCAGTCACACCACGCTTCTTTACTGCAGAGAAAGAGAGGGGTGAGAGGGAGGAGACCAGGGGGAGACCAGGGAAAGACCAGAGAGAGACCAGAGAGAGAGACCAGAGAGAGACCAGGGGGAGACCAGAGAGAGACCAGAGAGAGACAAGGGGGAGAGACCAGGGGGAGAGACAGAGGGCTCAGAGAGAGAGAGAGAGACCAGAGAAAGAGACCAAAGAGAGAGAGACCAGAGAGAGAGTAACAGAGTCAACAGTACGTGAGGCGGGTGCATCATCTGTGTGTGTTGCTGGTGTGTGTGTTACTGACCTATAGTAGGCCTCTCCTCACAGTCTCGTCCTGGTCTCTCTGTGTGGAACACTCGCACCATCTTGTCGAAGCCGCAGTACAGATGAGAACCATCAGGACTGAAGCATAGGGAGTGAGCTGCAGTCAGCTCGTCCAGATGGTTATAGGGTCGGAAGCTTCCTCTAACCTTACCATCAAACGCATCCCACACATGCACCGGGTTATCACGACTGGTACTGGCCAGGCTGGGAACCAGAGGAAGACCAGGGACCAGAGGTAGACCAGAGGGAGAGACCAGAGAGGGATCAGAGAAAGACCAGAGGAAGAGGGAGAACAGTGAGAGACCATTGATCTGAATATCTTGGAGACCCAGGACTTGTCTTAAACATCCACCTTCATGAGCACCCAAACTCAACCCTGTCTTGTCATTGTGGCTTCAGTGGATCCCTGACTGTAGAGGACTGTTGCAGACTAACTCCTGGATCCCTGACTGTAGAGGACTGTTGCCTCAGACTAACTCCTGGATCCCTGTCTGTAGAGGACTGTTGCAGACCAACCTCTGGATCCCTGACTGTAGCAGACTAACTCCTGGATCCCTGACTGTAGAAGACTGCTGCAGACTAACTCCTGGATTCCTAACTGTAGAGGACTGTTGCCTCAGACTAACTCCTGGATCCCTGACTGTAGAGGACTGTTGCCTCAGACTAACTCCTGGATCCCTTACTGTAGAGGACTGTTGCCACAGACCAACTCCTCGATCCCTGACTGTAGAGGACTGTTGCCACAGACTAACTCCTGGATCCCTGACTGTAGAGGACTGTTGCCTCAGACTAACTCCTGGATCCCTTACTGTAGAGGACTGTTGCCACAGACTAACTCCTGGATCCCTGACTGTAGAGGAATGTTGCCTCAGACTACAGTGCCTTGCAAAGGTATTCACCCCCTTGGCATTTTGTGTGTTTTGTTGCCTCACAACCTGGAATTAACATGGATTGTTTGAGGATTTGCATCAGTTAATTTACAGAACATGCCCACAACTTTTAAGATGTCTTTTTTTTTATTGTGAAGCAAACAACAAATAGGACAAAATAACAGAAAAGGTCAATGTGCATAACTATACACCCCCCTAAAGTCAATACTTTGTAGAGCCACCTTTTGCGGCAATCACAGCTCCAAGTCACTTTGGATAAGTCTCTATGAGCTTGCCACATCTTACCACTGGAATGTTTGCCCATTCCTCCTTGCAAAACTGCTCCAGCTCCTTCAAGTTGGATGGTTTGCGCTTGTGAACAGCAATCTTTAAGTCTGACCACAGATTTTCTATTGGATTGAGGTCTGGGCTTTGACTAGGCCATTATAACACATTTACATGTTTCTCCTTAAACCACTGAAGTGTTGCTTTAGCAGTGTGTTTGGGGTCATTGTCCTGCTGGAAGGTGAACCTCCGTACTAGCCTCAAAATCACGCACAGAGTGGTACAGGTTTTGCTCAAGAATATCCCTGTATTTAGCACCATCCATCTTTCCCTCAACTCTGACCAGTTTCCCAGTCCCGGCTGCTGAAAAACATCCCCACAGCATGAGGCTGCCACCACCATGTTTCACTGTGGGGATGGTGTTCTTTGGGTGATGTGATGTGTTGGGTTTGCTCCAGACAGAGTTTTCCTTGATGGTCGAAAAGTTCAATTTCAGTCTCATCAGACCAGAGCACCTTCCTCCATACATTTTGGGATCTCCCACATGCCTTTTCGCAAACTCAAAATGTGCCATTTTGTTTTTCATGAAAGTAATGGCTTTCTTCTGGCCACTCTGCCATAAAGCCCAACTCTATGGAGCGTATGGCTTATTGTCGTCCTATGTACAGATACTCCAGTCTCTGCTGTGGAACTCTGCAGCTCCTCCAGGGTTACCTTAGGTCTCTGTGCTGCCTCTCTGGTTAATGCCCTCCTTGCCCGGTCCGTGAGTTTTGGTGGGCGGCCGTCTCTTGGCAGGTTTGCTGTTGTGCCATGTTCTTTCCAATTGGTTATGATTGATGATCCCCAGGCGCACCATCAAATCTAAGATTTTTTTATAACCTAAACTTGACTTGTACTTCTCAACAACACTGTCCCTTACTTGTTTGGAGAGATCCTTGGTCTTCATGGCAGTGTTTGGTTAGTGGTGCCTCTTGCTTAGGTGTTGCAGCCTGAGGCCTTTCAAAAAAGGTGTGTATATGTACTGACAGATCATGTGACACTTAGATTGCACACATTTCACTATTTATGTGACTTCTGAAGGTAATTGGGTGCACCAGAGCTTTTTATGGGCTTCATAACAAAGGGGGTGAATACATATGCACATGCCAATTTCCAGTTTTTTATTTCTGAAAATTGTTTTATGTATATATTTTTCTCAATTCACTTCACCAACTTAGACTATTGTTTTCTGATCCATCACATGAAATTCAGATTAAAAAACATTGAACTAAAGGCTGTAATGTAACAAAATAGGTAAAAAGCCAAGGGGGGTGAATAATTTTGCAAGGCACTGTATCTCCTGGATCCCTGACTGTTGAGGACTGTTGCCTCAGATTAACTCCAGGATCCCTGGATCACTCACAAACAGGTGTTGGGGTCCAGAGAGCTCATGTGGGGGTACCAGCAGTAGTCGTAGATGGTGTCTCCCTCGGCCATACGCAGCACTGGGCTCTGAAAACATAAAACTAAATAAGTGACTGGTCTGATAAATTTTGATGTCCAAATACTAACATCCAAATCCTATTACATGTATCAGTTTCATAGTAATTACAAAAAGAACTATGTTTATTTTAACATGGGGAAGACCCAGGACACATGGGGAAGACCCAGGACACAGAGGGATTATGTCTCTCTCTGGGAACGCCTTGGGGTCGGACGAGCTGGAGGAATTGTGTGAGAGGGAAGTCTGGGTCTCTGCTTAGACTGCTGCCCCCGCGACCCGGCAATGGATGAAGCGGAAGAAAATGGTCCTGACTGTGGTCCTCTCGGTGGTCCTCTCAGTGGTCCTTTGTGGTCCTCTGAGGTCCTCTCAGTGGTACTTTGTCTCTGTGACGCCGGACTCCTTCCAACACTCCCGTTTTGAGGACACCCACAGCAATACCAGGTACCTTGTGTAAAAGGCCGCCGCCATGAATGCTTCTGCCACGCTTGAATTTACCGAAGAAGTCTACTCAAGTATTATTCTGAAAGACTGATAGTACCGCTGTTACTTCAGCCATTTCCTCTATTGACCTGTTACGTGATTTAGAACGTATTCTGGCCAGAGAAACTTGTCTTTACCTTCATGCCGTCACTCTAAGCGACTAAATGTGAGTAAAGAGGATCCCTCGGGGGCTGAGAATTAATAAAGGACCGATCATCGGCAGTGAGAATGACACATTCTGTGATAGATGGAGTGAGATCTTTAATAAATGCTCTTTTGACTTGATGGCATTGACTATCCAAGAGGTCTCGGCGAATCTCGTGAGAACCCGAGAAGAAATTACGGAAGTGAAACAGAAACTCACCGATTCTGCCAAGCTAAAGAACCTCCTCTCTGAATGTGAGCAACAGCAAAATTAACTTCACAAAGAAATCGTACCATCAAAGAAAAATAAATTTGACAGATGAGGCAGACTACAGCAGCGGTCTAATTTACCAATGGAGGAACCGTACCATGCGGAATCAACGCTTACCCACTCTGGCGCCCAACAACCGCAGAGGTAATTACATGAGCAACAGACGCTATAGGAACAAAACAAACATCGATATAGACTCTGAATCCAGTTCTCACTCTCAATCTTCCAGCAGTTCTTTTTTGGATGGAGGAAGAGATACAACGCAAACACTCCAAACACGAGGAAGAAGAAATGCAGGAGGGGGAAGAACACACGCAGCAAGGGAACCATACCAAACACAGAATCAACGGACACAGAGGTAAAAAATTTGATCAATTTGTCTAGGAAAACTTTATCTGAACCCTGCTTAACAGCTCTGAGCAGAAGCTTATCCTTTGTACCAACCACGTACTGCAAAGACTTTAATGTGATTGTGGACCTACATACGTTTTTTCGAACACTTAGGCTCCAGGTGTTTAACAGTGGCAAAAAAATAAATTCGTCTCTGGTTTCCGTGACTTCAGGCAGAGGAGCTGGTCCCCCTGATGAGTTGGTCACTAACCAACAATCAGCTGTGGGACCAAGAACTCCGTTCAGAGGTAAAAGCATGTTCATACCACCCTCTAGGAGGAATGCCTCTCTAGACACATATTGCAGACTGGTGGAACAAGACTTTTCACCTGTGCTTTCAAAGAAGAGACAATACACACTGGCCAAAAACCTTACCAAAGAACAAAAACTTGCCCTGGAGTCTCTTCAAAAATACGACTCCATTGTTATTAAAAGTCTGGACAAAGGGGGAGCTATTGTGATTCAGGACCGCACGGCTTATGTTAAAGAGGTGGAACGTGAGTTGGACAATAAGACTGTTTATAAGAACTTGACCACAATCCCACCTCTGAGTTCAAGACTACTATCAAAGAGTTACTGGATCATTTTTTGACTAATAACGATATTACCAAACAAGAACATGCATTCATGACTGTGGATTATCCGGTCACCCCTGTCCTGTATACTCTCCCTGTACACAGATGTTCCTCCTGGCAGACCAATTGTTTCAGCCATCGGGTCACTTATAGAAAAAATGTCAGCCTTTGTTGATTTTTTTCTTCAACCTCTGGTCACATCATTACCCTCATATATTAAAGACTCAATGGACTTCCTAAAATTGCTTAAGACTGTGGCAATTCCAGAAAATTCCTAGTCACCATGGACATTGAGACACTATACACACATGGACCGATCGAAAAGGTCTGCAAGCCACAGAACTCTTCCTCAACCAAAGAGCGGAACTTACACCAAGCCCTGAATGTCTAATACATAGGTGTCAAAGTCAAGGCCCGGCACGCGAGACCATTTCCAGTGGCCCCTGAGATGATTTTAAATTCTTTTATTAAAAGGTTATCCATTACTAATTTTCTCAAGAAAACAACCATAACATGTAATTCCATAAGAAATGTTTAGCCATCATGTCTTTAATATTATGTTTTTTACGAGTCTTCAATTACATTTCTTCTTAAAGATATGAAGAGGATTTCCAAATGTTCTTAGGAAAGAACCACCCTCTCCACTTTTTGAACAAATCTCTCTGGTCTTATTAGATGAGCATGAATCACCAGAATGATTGACAGTTGTGAGGACCAATCGTCTTGATGATCCGCACAGAAGTAGAAAATCTTCCTTTACACCTTCAATATTAGGTCCAGTTTTGGTCAAGTCCACAGAAACTGAACTAATTCTAATCAGAAAAGAATATCCAATCTTACTAATGTGAAACAAGTCATTTATAAAGATACCTTCATATTATAAAAAAGTATAATAAGTGAAACCCACTTATTTTTTCGGCCCCTGACCAGCCCTTTCATTTTGTATTTGGCCCTCAACCAAAATAAGTTTGACACCCCTGGTCTAATAGATCTCCTAAGAATTGTCCTTACTTCGAATTTTTTCAAGTTTGAATCTGATTTTTATTTACAGATCTCTGGCACCAGCATGGGCTCAAGGATGGCGCCCAGCTTTGCTTCTCTTTACTGCGGACACTTCGAACGGGATGTTATTTTCGACAGTGCTCACAACCCATATTTAAGATACATTTCCAACTGGAGAAGATACATAGACAATATATTCTTCCTGTAGTGTGGCACAGAGGAACAATTGAAACAATTCCACACATTTATGAACACAAACAATTTCAACTTGGAATTCACCATGGAATTTGACATTCAGAAAATGACCTTCCTTGACATTCTTGTGTGCAAAGAGTCTTATAAACTATGCTCAACTCTGTACCGAAAAAGCACTGACCGTAATTCAATCCTAAATGGGACATCATTCCACCCTGTACCTTTAAAATTAAGTTTGTCAATTTCACCATTCAACCGTTTACGACAGATCTGCAGCTCAGACACGCAATACCAGAGTCATGCAAATGACATGGAGAAGCGCTTTCAACAACGATCTTACAAACAAGCATGGATCACAGGAGCATGCAACAGGTTTGACGCAATCATTCAGGAGGAATGTCTACAACACAGTAAGAGCAAAAACAAACAACGGGAAACCAAAGTCAACTGCATAATGCAATATTCACCGCTGGGTAAAGAGTTTGAAAAAATTAAAAAATAAATTGGTACATAATCCAGTCGGACCCAGCTCTACAGAACCTATCGCGGAATAGTGTACAAAAGGCCGCCCAACTTGGGTAACAAACTGGTGAGGGCCATCTTACCCACTCAGCCCCAACCTCACTTTCTCCAAAATGTACCACATGGTAACTATAGATGTGGCAATTGCATGCAGTGCAACTTCACACATAAGCTGCAAGACGAACAATGTAATCTACATGCTGAGATGCCCCTGCGGCCTGACGTACATTGGAAAAACAACTAGACCTTTGAAGACCAGAATTTCAGAACATCGGAGCAACATCCGCAATCATGACTCAAAAAGCCCAGTGGCTGTTCACTTCACAGAAGCGAAACACAATGTGAGCACATTAAGGTACACAGGAATCGAACACATCAAACTTTCAAACCGAGGAGGAGACATTAATCCCCAATTACTAAAACGCAAATATAACGCTTTCTGAATATACACACTAGACATATTGAGTCCAAAGGGTCAAAATGAAGACTTTGACCCGAGACCTTTATATGATCCTGTTTCTTTAGATCTTCCTGTGAATCCACAACAGGCCCCTCAACTACAGTATAGGTGGCTAATCTTTAATGGTCTACATTCCAAACACAAAAGCATGGCCTTTCCTCATTGTGGTACTGTAAATATGTAAATATTTGATATTGCAAACATTTACAATTATTTGTACATTTTTGTAAAGGAAATGTAAATTTGTTAATTTGTGTGTATGTTGTGGTATCTATTTTTTCTGTGGCATGTATCTATACTGTTTTATCACATTTCAGGAGGGCTACACCTCATTGATTCCATTTTGTGTGTGTTTCGAGTGAGTCATGTGACCTGTCATTACTGTGTATATATACAGTTGTGTGGCGTGCTTCGCTTTATGTCTGATGAAGTGACCCGAAACGTCACATTGTGTGGTGAGAATTAAAATCTCTTGGGAGCAAAAGCTGTGCAGCGTCATCTTCGACTTTTTGCACGCTACTTAGAATTGGATGTGCGCGTCAATCTCACCCTTCCTCTCAGTGGTCCTCTCGGTGGTCCTCAGTGGTTTGGTCTGTATTTACTGTCAGACAGTTTTGACGCAGAAACAAACACTGTCGTCAGCAGACAGAGGGAGGGTCATGAATATAAATGATAAACCGCAAAGGCCCGGATAATAATAATAATAATAATAATGATACAGTTTATTTAAAAGCGCCTTTCTAAACACCCAAGGACACTGTACAAAGCATAATAAAAACATTAAAAATAGGATCAACAGAATAAAACAGTAAAGTACAATATGGAATGGTGGGTGTGTGTGTGTGTGTTAGGTGGGGTAGGACAGTCTGAACAGATGGGTTTTGAGTCTGAATTTCAAGAGTGGGAGAGAGTCGATGGTACGGAGGTCTCTGTGTTCCACGGTGATGAGTCTGGCTGGGGGGACGGAGAGTGTGAGAGTGGAGGAGGAGCGGAGTGTGCGGACAGGAGTGGCAGGGTGGAGGAGGTCAGATAAGTACGGAGGGGCCAGGTTGTGAAGTGCTTTGAAAGTGGTGAGGAGTATTTTGAAGTTGATGCGCCGTTTAATAGGAAGCCAGTGGAGTTGTCGGAGTACGGGGGTGATGTGGTCAGTTGTGGGGGTCCGGGTGATGATGCGAGCTGCAGAGTTTTGAAGGAGCTGCAGTTTCTGGAGGGATTTGTTGGGGAGGCCGAAAAGAAGAGAGTTGCAGTAGTCAATCCTTGAGGTGACGAGGCTGTGGACGAGGATGGCGGTGGTGTGGGGGGTGAGAGAGGGGCGGAGACGAGAGATATGGAGCCCTGTGGCACTCCCATGGCCATGGTATAGTCTCGACTGAGTTCACTCTGACACAAATGAGTGAGTTTGTTCAAGACTCACTCATGAGTGTTGGGTATGATACTTTGTAAAAGTAATTAGTTATAGTTACTAGTTACTTCTCCCAAAAAGTAACTGAGTTACTCCATTATAAAAGTAACTATTGCGTTACTTTTTCGTTTTGTTCTGGAACATAATGTGCACTCAGTGAGTTTGAAATAGTGGTGATATTTCCATCTGAAAAAGGCTGTTTTTCTGCTGGAGTCCTCCTCACTCTCCATCTTTCTCTGTATGCTGTAAGCACTAAACACCAACACCCGCCACTGTGAATGCGGAAACACCCACCAATAAGAGGTTGTTTATGTCGTGTGGTACTGTGCTGTCGTAGGCGGTGACGGAGATGCTCTTTAGCGACTAGTTGAGTGTTGACGCTGCAAGTGTTTTAAAAGGTTCGCGGATGAGTTGGCTTCGGTGGACAATCGCTTGCTGCCCGCGCAAAGCTTGCACTCGACGACAACGTTTTTATCTTTTTGACTGATATAGTTAAAATAGTGTGCATATCTCCACCGGTAAAACTAATTAATCTCCTCTGGCTCTGCCATGTTGCTTTACAAACTCGCTCATGTGCCTCAACATGACGTAAGCACGCAGGCACGCACGTACTAGAATTTAATATGCTGCTATCCAGAATATATAACTACAATATGTGTTTGTAATATTTTGGGTGTTCATTTTGACAGGTTAAGATGAATTATGTAAAAAAAACGGCTTTGAAGTCGCACTTTTTCACTTCCGCATAGAAACGCTAGGGGGCGCCAAAATGATGACGTAGGAGAATGACCTCTCACAGCAGCGGACAGCAGTCATGGCTGGAATCTGAAGCAGCGATCGGAGGTTTCACTGTCATCTGAACAAGGTATAAACATATTTTTATCAGTTTTGTACATAATAGTGTGCAACTCTTTTAACCTTTTAGCCTTATTTGTGAGATTCAAGCTAATTAGTGTTGGGCAAGTTAGCTACTTGAAATCAAGATATCCTAAAACATGCTTACAAGGCTAATATTTGTTTTTACATTATGTCAGTCTCACTTTGGTTGCCTTAGATTTATTTACCACAATGTACATTGTAATATCCATAAATGCTAATCAAAATAACTTGAATTAAATAAATATTTTACTTTTATGAACAAAAAGCTGCTGAAGTTGAATACATAGACACAAGAGCTAACATGATAACTACATGTGATGCAATCATTGATAAAAATACTAATTAAACCGTTAATAGGTGTTAGTATTTATGGATATTACAATGTACATTGTGGTAAATAAATCTAAGGCAACCAAAGTGAGACTTTGGTTGCCTTAGATTTGTAATGTAAAAACGAATAATAAAAACGAATAGTAGCCTTGTAAGCATGTTTTATGATATCAAGTAGAGTTAGCTAACTTGCCCAACACTAATTAGCTTGAATCCCACAAATAAGGCTAAAAGGTTAAAAGAGTTGCACACTATTATGTACAAAACGGATGAAAATCTGTTGTTCAGATGACAGTGAAACCTACAGTTTCCAGCTAAGACTGCTGTCTGCTGCTGTGAGATGGCCTTCTCCTACGTCATCGCCGCCATTTTGGCCCCCCCTAGCGTTTGTGAAAAGGTGCGATTTAACATAATTCATCTGAACATGTCAAAATGAACACCCGAAATATTATAAACACATATTGTAGTTATATATTCTGGATAGCAGCATATTAAATTCTAGTACTACTCTAAACGTATTTTCATATTAAAGCGTTACACTACTGCGTTACTCAAATTTGTAATTTTGTTATAGAAACATGTTACTTAGTAACGCGTAACACCCAACACTGGTCATGACCGTGTCAAAAGGAACACCCCCCTCCTTAATCAAGGAACACCGCCCCCTCTCCTTGATCAAGGAACCGCGCCCCCCCTCCTGCACCTGTGTTCTTTCTGGTGTCCGTCTCATCTGGTTTTCCATTCACTGAGAACAATCAGAAGTGTAACATCACTGACCATCTCCGGCAGCAGCTGCCAGCAGGGGGCGTACAGCTCTGAAGGCAGGTCATACACACGTAGCACGTTATCTGCACTGCTGGTCAGGAGGCACGAGCCGTCAGGAGCCCTACACACACACATGGTACTCACACACATGGTACTTACACATGGTACTCACATGATACACAAACATGGTACTTACACATGGTACTCACACAGGGTACACACACACATGGAACTCACACACATAATACGCCCACATGCTACTAAAAACATGGTACTCACACACATGGTACTCACGCAAGGTACACAAACACATGGTACTCACGCAAAGTACACACACACATGGTACTCAAACATGGTACCAGAGAGAGCCCTGCACACACATACAGTGGGGCAAAAAAGTATTTAGTCAGCCACCGATTATTTTAAGTGGGAGAACTTGCACAATGACAGAGGTCTGTAATTTTCATCATAGGTACACTTCAACTGTGAGAGACAGAATGTGAAAAAAAAAAAAAAATCCAGGAATTCACATTGTAGGATTTTTAAAGAAAATATTTGTAATGATGGTGGAAAACAAGTAAGATCTCTGGAACTTCTTCTTTAAGAAGCTCTTCTGTCCTTCACTCGTTACCTGTATTAATGGCACCTGTTTGAACTCTATCTGTATAAAAGACACCTGTCCACAGCCTCAAACAGTCAGACTCCAAACTCCACTATGGCCAAGACCAAAGAGCTGTCAAAGGACACCGGGAAAGAATTGTAGACCTGCACCAGACTGGGAAGAGTGAATCTACAATAGGCAAGCAGCTTGGTGTGAACAAATCAACTGTGGGAGCAATTATCAGAAAATGGAAGACATACAAGACCACTGATAATCTCCCTAGATCTGGGGCTCCACGCAAGATCTCATCCCGTGGGGTCAAAATGATCATGAGAACGGTGATCAAAAATCCCAGAACCACACGGGGGGACCTGGTGAATGACCTGCAGAGAGCTGGGACCAAAGTAACAAAGGTTACCATCTGTAACACACTACGACGACAGGGAATCAAATCCTGCAGTACCAGACGTGTCCCCCTGCTGAAGCCAGTGCATGTCCAGGCCCGCCTGAAGTTTGCCAGAGAGCACATGGATGACACAGCAGAGGATTGGGAGAATGTCATGTGGTCAGATGAAACCAAAGTAGAACCGTTTGGTATAAACTCAACTTGTCGTGTTTGGAGGAAGAAGAATACTGAGTTGCATCCCAAGAACACCATACCTACTGTGAAGCATGGGGGTGGAAACGTCATGCTTTGGGGCTGTTTTTCTGCTAAGGGGACAGGACGACTGATCCGTGTTAAGGAAAGAATGAATGGGGCCATGTATCGTGAGATTTTGAGCCAAAACCTCCTTCCATCAGTGAGAGCTTTGAAGATGAAACGTGGCTGGGTCTTCCAGCATGACAATGATTCCAAACACACAGCCCGGGCAACGAAGGAGTGGCTCCGTAAGAAGCATTTGAAAGTCCTGGAGTGGCCTAGCCAGTCTCCAGACCTCAACCGACAGCCCCAAAACATCACTGCTCTCGAGAAGATCTGCATGGAGGAATGGGCCAAAATACCAGCTACTGTGTGTGCAAACCTGGTAAAGACCTATAGTAATCGTTTTACCTCTGTTATTGCCAACAAAGGTTATATTACAGAAGATTGAGTTGAATTTTTTTTATTGACCAAATGCTTATTTTCCACCATCATTTACAAATAAATTCTTTAAAAATCCTACAATGTGAATTCCTGGATTTTTTTTCTTCACATTCTGTCTCTCACAGTTGAAGTGTACCTACGCTGAAAATAACAGACCTCTCATTATTTTTAGTGGAGAACTTGCACAATCGGTGGCTGACTAAATACTTTTTTGCCCAACTGTATGTTGCGACACATTGGGAACACAAGAGAGAAACTCAGAGATAACCCAGAGGGAGACCAGACAGAGACCAAAGAGAGGGACCAGAGAGACCAGAGAAACCAAGGAGAGAAACCAGAGAGAGACCAGGAGAGAGACCAGAGAGAGACAAGGGAGAGAGACCAGAGAGAGACCAGAGAGAGACCAGAGAGAGACCAGAGAGAGACCAGAGAGAGACCAGAGAGAGACACCAGAGGAGAAAAAGACTCATAATGAGTGTAGAAGTGAACACGAGACCATGGTAAGAGAACAGTGCCATGTAAGAACAGTACCATTTACAGCCTTTCAGATAGTTCTCTGGGAGAGAGGAGAACTCAGCCCAGGAGCCGGTCAACATCTGAGGAGTGTGGCTGAAATCCAAGGCCTCGCTGCAAACACGGATTACAATAGAATAATTTTATTATTATTAGAAGTTCAAGACCAGAGAACAGAGAGAGAGACCAGGGAGAGACCAGAGAGCGACCAGAGAGAGACCAGTTTCTATTGTAAATGTAGTCTATTACAGTGCGTTTCCAGCTGTAATAACACTTTTATTAGAACTGCTCCTTTCGTAGTCTTCTTCCTTGGAGCCTGAGTACATGGTCTTACCGCTGTGGGCCCCCGTCCTCAGGACCCTCTGGTTCTTCGGGCTCCTGGTCCTTGAGGTTCTGGTCCTCTGGTTCTTCAGGCTCCTGGTCCTTGAGGTTCTGGTCCTCTGGTTCTTCAGGCTCCTGGTCCTTGAGGTTCTCATCCTCTGGTTCTTCAGACTCCTGGTCCTTGAGGTTCTCGTCCTCTGGTTCTTCAGGCTCCTGGTCCTTGAGGTTCTCGTCCTCTGGTTCTTCAGGCTCCTGGTCCTTGAGGTTCTCGTCCTCTGGTTCTTCAGGCTCCTGGTCCTTGAGGTTCTCAGCTCTGAGCTCCACATAGTGCTCTGCTGCATCTACAACAACAATTGTTTTTGGAAAGACTTAAGTTAAAGAAGTCTGTTTAAAGAATAGTCTAGAGACTCATCATCACCACCACCATCACCGACATCACCATCACCATCATCCTCACCATCGTCGTCATCACCATCATCATCATCACCATAATCACCGACGTCATCACCATCATCCTCACCTTCCTCATCATCATCATCACCATCACCACCTGGTTCTTCAAACTCCTGGTCCTTAAAGTTCTCGTCCTCTGGTTCCTGCTTCTCAGCTCTGAGCTCCACATAGTGCTCTGATGTATCTACGACAACAATTGTTTTTGGAAAGACTTAAGATAAAGAAGTCTGTAGAATAGTCTAGAGACTCATCATCCCATCATCACCATAATCATCGCCATCACCACCGCCATCAACGACGTCATCACCATCATCATCACCACCATTGTGGTGGCTCATTTAAAGACAGCCACAGTGAGCCAGGTGACAAAGTTCTTCTGACGCTGAGACCAGGGAGACGTAATCCGTTTAAGTTTATTTATTGAACAAAATAATAAAAATGAACATTACAGTCTTCCACAGTTTGCAGGTGCTCCCACACCTGCACTCAAACTGATTACCTCAGAGCAGTCTAAATAACGGGAGTGTCTCTGATTTTAAAGCTGCTGTTTTTAAACTTATATATTATTTGCAATTGTCTTTTAAAGTTTTTAATCATTATGACATTTACTGACTTATGGCATTTTAGAATCTTTCTTTCTTAACTTAATCATTTTAACCGTTTAACTTAACGGTTTTAACCATTTCTAACAAATAATCTGATTGACCTTTTAACAAAAAACTATCTTATACTTTTAACATTAAATTAAACACTTCAGGAATGTAACTGTTTTGGCTCTCACAACCACCATCATCACCATCCTTCATCATCATCATCACCACCACCACCATCATCACCATCACCCTTCATCATCACCACCATCATCACCCTTCATGATCACCATCATCATCATCATCATCACACCTGTACAGAAGCTTTTGACAGAACAGAACATACCCATTGGTGCTCTGAGGCTTTCCTCCTCCAGGCGAGATTTCTTTGGTGCAGTGGGCTCCTCCTCCTCCTGTTCCCCTGGCTCCTCCTCCTCCCCCCCCATGGCTGTGGGGGGCACCTGTGATGGGGCCTCGCTCACAGACACCTCTCCCCCAGGATCCATCAGATCCACTGTGGAGACAAAAGGTTAAAGGTCATAAAGAAGAACTTCTGATATTTCAAAATAAAAGATTTGTTCACATCTAAAACTGCACAGAAAAAGACAGAGGACTGGGTCTGCAGCCTCAGTCCTGGGTCTACAGCCTCAGTCCTGGGTCTACAGCCTCAGTCCAGGATCTACAGCCTCAGTTATTATATTTCGTGTGTTTGGACTGTTTGATTCTCTGATCTCTATTGGTGAATCCATAACTTTTGTAAAGTCCTCAGAGACCGCTGTGGTTGAGGATGATAAATAAATACATGAACATGCTACAGATCTAAGTAGACTAGAGTTCTCCGGACTCCAGATGTTATAATTTTATAAGTAGTATTTGCACTAAAATGGACCGTGGGGAAGTTGGTTGGATATTGGATATTATTTTTACATTATTATTATTATTATACAGTGCCTTGCGAAAGTATTCGGCGCCCCTGAACCCCCTTCAACATTACGCCACATTTCAGGCTTCAAACATAAAGATATAAAAATTAAATGTGTTGTCAAGAATCAACAACAAGTGGGACACAATCGTGAAGTGGAACAAAATGTATTGGATGATTTAAACTTTTTTAACAAATAAAAACTGAAAAGTGGGGCGTGCAATATTATTTGGCCCCCTTGCGCTAATACTTTGTAGCGCCACCTTTTGCTGCAATTACAGCTGCAAGTCGCTTGGGGTATGTCTCTATCAGTTTTGCACATCGAGAGACTGGAATTCTTGCCCATTCTTCTTTGCAAAACAGCTCGAGCTCAGTGAGGTTGGATGGAGAGCGTTTGTGAACAGCAGTCTTCAGCTCTTTCCACAGATTCTCGATTGGATTCAGGTCTGGACTTTGACTTGGCCATTCTAACACCTGGATACGTCTATTTGTGAACCATTCCATTGTAGATTTGGCTTTATGTTTTGGATCATTGTCCTGTTGGAAGATATATCTCCGTCCCAGTCTCAGGTCTTTTGCAGACTCCAACAGGTTTTCTTCCAGAATAGTCCTGTATTTGGCTCCATCGATCTTCCCATCAATTTTAGCCATCTTCCCTGTCCCTGCTGAAGAAAAGCAGGCCCAAACCATGATGCTGCCACCACCATGTTTGACAGTGGGGATGGTGTGTTCAGGGTGATGAGCTGTGTTGCTTTTACGCCAAACATATCGTTTTGCATTGTGGCCAAAAAGTTCGATTTTGGTTTCATCTGACCAGAGCACCTTCTTCCACATGTTTGGTGTGTCTCCTAGGGGGCTTGTGGCAAACTTTAAACGAGACTTTTTATGGATATCTTTGAGAAATGGCTTTCTTCTTGCCACTCTTCCATAAAGGCCAGATTTGTGCAGTGCACGACTGATTGTTGTCCTATGGACAGACTCTCCCACCTCAGCTGTAGTTATCTGCAGTTCATCCAGAGTGATCATGGGCCTCTTGGCTGCATCTCTGATCAGTCTTCTCCTTGTTTGAGATGAAAGGTTGGAGGGACGGCCGGGTCTTGGTAGATTTGCAGTGGTCCGATACTCCTTCCATTTCAATATAATTGCTTGCACAGTGCTCCTTGAGATGTTTAAAGCTTGGGAAATCTTTTTGTATCCAAATCCGGCTTTAAACTTCTCCACAACAGTATCTCGGACCTGCCTGGTGTGTTCCTTTGTCTTCATGGTTCTCTCTGCGCTTTAAACAGAACCCTGAGACTATCAAAGAGCAGGTGCATTTATACGGAGACTTGATTACACACAGGTGCATTCTATTTATCATCATCAGTCATTTAGGACAACATTGGATCATTCAAAGATCCTCACTGAACTTCTGGAGTGAGTTTGCTGCACTGAAAGTAAAGGGGCCGAATAATATTACACGCCCCACTTTTCAGTTTTTTATTTGTTAAAGAAGTTTAAATTATCCAATAAATTTTGTTCCACTTCACGATTTTGTCCCACTTGTTGATTCATGACAAAAAATTAAAATTTTATATCTTTATGTTTGAAGCCTGAAATGTGGCGAAATGTTGAAAGGTTCAAGGGGGCCGAATACTTTCGCAAGGCACTGTATCCCAATGCACTGCATGGATATGGATTGCATTTTCGTAATGAATACAAAAATAAAGTCAGTTAGTGCAGCTTTAAACAAACGATAGTACTACCTGTAGGTTATGTGGCTCAGGCCCTGAAATTATGTTTAAAAGCTATTAAAATTATTTTATGGTTAAAAATACCATTCCATTCTCTTTTGCTTTATCCGTTACCGGGTCGCGGGGGCAGCAGTCTAATGCAGCTTTCAGACCGCCAACGCTGGAACTAGGGATGAAAAAAACTATGAAACCGGTTAACCGCGTAGTTTAAAATAATCCACGTTCTTTAAAATAACAGCCATTTCGAGCCACGTTCTTTTCATAAGTGCAGCTATGCGTTCAACTGGATCAGAGCCGAGACAGCGGCGCCAAAACCCGCAACAGCTTAGGCCCCTTTGGGCACAGAGAACTGCTTTTTTTAATCTTCCCATTCTGCTGTGCTGCGGGTTGTTGGAATATTAACTCTTGCACCAGTTAAAACTAAAAACAGTTTAGTATTGTTTCTATTGCCAAATTAGCACTTGTTTGTGTAAATCTCAAAGAGCAGTGAGTTCAAGGTTAGTCTGTGTGAGAATGGGAGGGGGACAAGAGAAAAACAACTGTGGTTATCAGAGCAGGTGCAGGCTTTGGCAGCTGGCCAGAAGAAGTCATAGAGTCCACGAATCTGTGATGTCAGTGACCTTGGGTGTACAGTATAAAAGATGTACAGGAGGAGGCACGGGGACTTTTTGCTTTTTCGTCTGACAAGGAGCAGTGAGACGTCCCCGGGGGCCACTCCTTATCTGAACGCGAAGCGAGATCTGTTCGCGGACCGTTATCTTGTAATATTGCTTGCAAAATCTTCAATATAACCTTTTTGAAATCAGGTTTGGTATCTGTCATTTCTATCACTGTTTTAACATTGGTTTTTGTCTCTTGTTGAACTAAAAGGACCTGCAGAACGAAGGGCTGTGTTTGCGGCCTCTCTGCAGCTTCTGGGGCGGGGGAATTCTGACAAATTACTGCAGAACTTGGCGTCGCTCGAACAGGATTTCGACAGGAGACACTAGGACCGGTCAGAGAAAAGATTAATTTGGCGCCAAAGTAAAACGGTAAGATTGTTACCAACTAATTAATCTTTCCTTTCACCTGACCTGAGACCTAAAAATAAAAAATAAAAACAAACAAACACCAAGTAGGGTAAATATTGAAGGATTTGCAAGTATTTTATATTTTATTGGGATAATAGTATTCTAAGTCTAAGTGACGTAAGAAAAGGAGAAAACTGTGTGTTTTATCTCAGTGATTGATAGTTAACCTAAAGGAAAGAAAACTGTGTGTGAGGATCTAAGTGATTTATGAGTTAAGGAGTCAACTGTGTGTTATCTCAGTGATTTAATAGTTGAAGGAGAAAACTGTGTTTTTAATTAATTGACAATAAGGGAAAGGACAGGGACAGTGTCTAACTTTTCTCACTTTTTAATTTTTCTCTTGGTGTGAATGAGTGATTGATGTTTTCTGTTGAAAGTGACCATTGCACAAACGGTCACAGTGAACGCAGTAACTTGGGTCGCGTAGGACGGGGTCACGATTCGTGCGTACATTTCCCCACCACTTGTGGTTGAACGGGGAGATACCACGATCTGACGCTCTAAGATTACGCACCCAATTGCTGATTTTTTACATTGATATTGATAACACAAGGCTTGTAATCTAGACGGTAGAAAACATGGCATCTGTAACATTAGATGAGTGGATAAAGGGGATTATGATATTCTAATCTCAGGAGTATCTGAAGAGGCATGTACAGAAATCACTATGAAAGTACTTAGAGTAGTGGCAAAAAGGGATTCAAAATTGATTATGACAAGTGTGCATTTGTAAGACAGAGAGTATCGTTTCTAAAGACTTATCTCACTTCAGAAGGAGTCATGTGTGACCAGTCAAGACTGATCAAACTATCAGAGTTTCCCAAACCAAAAACAGTGAGAGAAATGATGTCCTTCATAAATACGGCAAGCTATATCAGGAAATATATTTTCAACTTCTCCTACATGATGAAGCCCTTGCAGAAAATGTTGATTGATGTAGGCTACACAGATTATGATGGGATCTTGACATGGACTGAGGAGCAAGCACAGGCATTTCAATCAATCAAAGAAAACTATCAATGGTGCAGACTTTACACTGCGTTGATAGGAAATACCCAATTATGATGGAAATCACAATGACTGGAGATTATTATTGTGCAGTGTTGTTTCAGAAAATAGCAGATGCACCCAAAATATTGTACATATTCAGCTCCAATCTCAGAGGATCAGAAGCACACCACTTCTCATGTGCACGTTATGTAATGGCCCTTAACACTAGGAGCGCCCCTAGCGGTCAACTGACCGTCACTCACTTTATTATGCTAATTAGTGTATTCAAAACAAAACGCCAGAAGTTGAAATTTTATGACTTTTACTGGGTACTTGTGGTTTATATTTTGGTGTGTTTTGGTTTTGGAAAAAGTAAAGAAAACAAGATTTACACGCATTTTTAACTTTTCTAAACCACAGCCCTTTCTGCTGCCCCATAGAGATACATGGCGCAGGGGCGACTGTTGTCATAGTAACCTTTCCCGGGGGTTTTTCGCGCCTTATAAAAATGTATCAATATGTTGTCATTAGACTCTAAAGGGACTTTTTTATTATTATTTGGGAGAGAGAGAGAGTACAAAATGAATAGAGCTGCAAGTACACGGTATGAAGCCCTGACAGTGCTTCAAAACATTGAATGAGAACAGTCTGACGGAGGTGAGATGTCACATTTTGAGGCAGAAAGTGACAGCGGGGAGAACACCTATAATATTCTAAATCTGAACGTAAACCCATAGTGCATTCACGGCACAGACAGCAGTGTTGTAACAAGTCCAGAAGCAATAACTCAC